GCTATAATGGTATGATTGCGCCTGTGAATAGCCACTGCACCCCAGCCTGGGCAACATAGTGAGACCTCTCTCTTAAAAATAAAAACTCAAATTTCCTACGCTAAAACATAGAATTATGTAATAATTTTAAACATTTAAAAGATCAAATTCTTAATATTCTGCCACATGCTATTTTTATCAACACATATTTAGATATCTTTCATTAGTGTTTACACAGCTACCTCACTTCTTTTGTCAGCTGTATAGCATTCCACTGTACAAATGTATTACAATTCATTTAACCAGTCCCTCTATAAAGAATGCTTTTACGGCCGGGCGCGGTGGCTCAAGCCTGTAATCCCAGCACTTTGGGAGGCCGAGATGGGCGGATCAAACCCCGTCTCTACTAAAAAAAAAAATACAAAAAATTAGCTGGGCGAGGTGGTGGGCACCTGTAGTACCAGCTACTCGGGAGGCTGAGGCAGGAGAATGGCGTAAACCCGGGAGGCGGTGCTTGCAGTGAGCTGAGATCCAGCCACTGCACTCCAGCCTGGGCAACAGAGCGAGACTCCGTCTCAAAAAAAAAAAAAAAAAAAAAAAGAATGCTTTTACTAACTCATGCAACATATAATTACACCAAGTGCCTATTAGAGCAGGTCCTGTTCTGGGCATTGGAGATACAGAAGTGAACAAAGCAAAGTCCTTGACCTGATGGAGCTTATATTCCAGTGGGGAGAAGTCAGAAAAAAGTCTATCATAGTACGTCAGCTGGTGTAAGACTAAGGAGAAAAAACAATGCAGGGCCTAGGAGCTCAATAACAGGTGGGGCGAGCGGGGAGAAGTTGCTATTTTATAGTGTGGCCAGGGTAGAAACCAGAAGGAACTGAGAGAGCGGGGCATGCTGATATATGGGTGAAGAATGTTAGGGCAAAGGCAACAGCCAACGCAAAGGCCCCGAGGTGAGAGCATCACTGACAGACAGAGTATTTGAGAAAACAAGGTGGCTAGTGTGCATGGAATCTGATGAGAAAGGGAGATAGTAGTAAAACATGTCAGGGTAGAGGAAAACAAACCATGCAGGGCCATTTTAAGGACTTTTCGACAGGGGAGTGGCATAACTGGACTTATATTTCAACACAATCACTCTGCTTTGCCGAGAACAGATTAAAAGAAAACAAAGGTTAAAGCAATGGGTCCAGTTATCTCAGTGGGAGACAATGGTTTAAGCTTGAGTGGCAGTAGTGAAGAGAATTAGAAGTGGTAAAATTCTGAATATAGGCTGAACGCAGTGGCTCATGTCTGTAATCCCAGCACTTTGGGAGGCCAAGGCGGGTGGATCACCTGAGAGTAGGAGTTCGAGACCAGCCTGGCCAACATGGCAAAACTCTGTCTCTAGTAAAAATACAAAAATCAGCCAGGCGTGGTAGCAGACACCTGTACTCCCAGCTACTTGGGAGGCTGAGGTGGGGAAATCGCTTGAGCTCAAGACGTGGAGGTTGTAATGAGCTGAGATTGCACCACTGCCCTCCAGCCAGCCAGAGTGAGACCCTGTCTCAAAAAAAAAAAAAAAAAAAGAGAGAGAGAGGGATGTCAAGAAGAAAATGAAGGCAGATAAACGAGTCTGAAGACAGAGCCCTGGAACACTCTAATGTTCAGGGATAGAGGATGTGAGGAAAAATCAAGAATGGAAGCCAAGTGAAGACCATATGCTTAGAGAAGAAAGAAGTGATCAACAGTCGCTGATGAATTACGTCAGATGAGTTCTGATGCGAAGGTCATATCCTCTGAAATACTGGAAAGGAAACAGCTTCCAGATTTTTTGCAATGACAAACAATACCTCAATAAATATCTTTGTGTAAATTTTATGGGAATGGAATTTCTGGACCCAAGGATATGTAAACTTAACATTGAGATACATTACCAAGTTGTCCACATGACTTCAACAATTTATAGACAGAATAAAACTGAATGTATATCTAAACTATCACCTACACCAAGAACTATCAAATTTATTAATCCTTGCCAATTTGCTAGGTCAAAAATGTTATCTTGTTTTATTTTGCACTTCTCTATGGCCAAAATTGAGCATTATTTCATGTTATTAGCCACTTGCCTTCTTTTCAAAAACAGTCTTTACCTACTTTTCTATGAATCTGCTTTCCTTTGCTGATTTACACTTGTATATTAATACTAACCCTTTTACTATTTTCTTTCCTTATACTACTAAGCTTATATGCTGGCTGGTACTGCTGAGAAGCAAAGAGAAACAGAACTGTACCAGAGCATTTAGACTTCTGGTTTTCATACTGTTTCCATGTTCCTTCTGCATACATGATCATTTTGTTACTTGTCTCTGCCACCTCTTTGCATGTGAGAACAATGTGGCTACAGCATCTGCTACCCCTCTGATAGCAGAGTGTGTCAGCTGATAGCAGTAGGAGGTCCTTCACGTGCATCCACCACAAGCCTGCATAACCATATTTTTTACAGAAGATGGAAAGGGGAACAAGTTCTTGCTGACCAAATCTTGTGTATTTAATTATGTGCTCACTACACGGTGGGCACTCAGTATTTGTGGAGTAAACAAAGGGAACTCCTCTCAAGTGAAAAAGAGGTCGTTTTATTGCCTTAAAAATGACCAAAAGATAAATAACTCCCTGATTATCCAAGGTTATTCCTGGAAAAGTAAGATCCAAGATAAAGATTTAACAAAGGCTGGGTGTGGTGGCTCATGCCTGTAATCCCAGCACTTTGGGAGGCTGAGGCAGATGGATCATCAGGTCAGGAGATCGAGAACATACTGGCTAACATGGTGAAACCCCATCTCTACTAAAAACACAAAAAATCAGCTGGGCGCGGTGGCGGGTGCCTGTAGTCCCAGCTACTTAGGAGGCTGAGGCAGGAGAATGGCGTGAACCCGGGAGGCAGAGCTTTCAGTGAGCCGAGATCATGCCACTGTACTCCAGCCTAGGCGACAGAGCCAGACTCTGTCTCAAAACAAAAAAACAAAACAAAACAAAACAAAAAGCAAAGATTTAACAAAAGTAAGTGTATGATAAACATTAGCAATTTTGAAATGTGTGAATGACACATACATTCTCTAAAACAATACTATAGGGTACTGCATTCTCAAAGAAACTATTCCATACTGCTATCATTCCCTCTTACAATATTATATGGGTCAATTATCCCATTTTTAAAGTATGTATATTTCCTTCGTTACCTGGGGATAGGACTATACTGTCTTCACACAAGAAGTTTCCCCATTCCTTTGATGATTAAGATCAAAATACTTCTTTTTTTTTTTTTTTTGAGACGGAGTCTCGCTCTGCCGCCCAGGCTGGAGTGCAGTGGCCGGATCTCAGCTCACTGCAAGCTCCGCCCCCCGGGTTCCCGCCATTCTCCTGCCTCAGCCTCCCCAGTAGCTGGGACTACAGGCGCCCGCCACCTCGCCCGGCTAGTTTTTTTTTTGTATTTTTTAGTAGAGACGGGGTTTCACCATGTTAGCCAGGATGGTCTCGATCTCCCGACCTCGTGATCCACCCGTCTCGGCCTCCCAAAGTGCTGGGATTACAGGCTTGAGCCACCGCGCCCGGCCCAAGATCAAAATACTTCTAATATTAAACACTGAAATAAAAGTGAGCTCTATATACATTTAAGTAAGATTAATAAAAACAAGTAAGATAATGATTTATCTGTTTATTCCAGTGGGTGATGAATAGCCAGAGCCTATCCCAGGCAGCTCAGGGTGCAAGCAGAAACCAGACCTGGATAGGAAGCCATTCTGTTGCACACACACACCCACACTCACTCAGACTGCGACTCTGTAGACACACTGATGAACCTAACGTGCACATCTCTGGGATACGGGAGGAAACCAGAGTGCCCTGAGAAAACCTCACGCAGACACAGGGAAAACATGCAAACTCCACAGACACAGTGGCATCAGCTAACAGTGTCTAATTAACACTATCACAAAACGATGTTGAATGAAATGATGTTATTCAAGGAATGTTGTATCTCTTTCTTAAGGTAAAGCTATCATAACTATAAGAGAACGTTCCAAATCATACACAATAGCTTCCTATCTGGTTAACTGTTTTATTATTTGTATTTCCTTTCCTTACCCACCGTTTTCAGCACCTTTTTGAACATGGTGTAGTGTGGATTGAAGACTTATAGATACCTCAGGGCAAATAAACAGGAAACTTAGATTATAACTGGACAAAATGAACCGGTAACAGGGACAAAATTTGGATAAGTGGTGACAGTTCTGAAAGATGTCCCTGAAAGTAGAATAGGAATAGGGCGATGGGACTTTCTGTTACTCTTGGCAACAAACAGGTGACCCGGTAGGGCCCAGAAACCAGGAAAAATAACATTTGGTTCAAACTGCATTCATAGCGCCTTATGAAATGAGGTCAAACTTTCATAATATTCAAATTCTTGTTCTTCAAAGATGGAGAAAGAAGTAAGCTGAAAGGAGCAAACAAGTAGCCAAATATTCCTGAGAAAGCTAAGCGTACCAATACTCTGAAGGAGTGAGAAAGCAAGTGTGTACATAGCCCAAATACTACACAGGGCAAATGACCAGTAACCTTGCTGTGAGAATGCCTGCCTACATACTAAAACTGTACTGACTTGAGTATTAACTTACATAGATGATGGCTGAAACTTGGAGATTCTATTTTTAATTATATCTTGGTTACTAATGGAATTTGATCTGTATTTTCTTCTCTGTCAATCTAAGATGATGCTTTCCTTCCTTTCCATTGTGGGTTCAGGTATTGACAAAGCAGTCTCCCTCAGGAGTTTGAACCAACGGAGACTGGGAAAAACACAATACATTTAGAAGTGATGTAGAATTAGACATGTTTGGGAATGACGATAAGGGGAGATCACATTTTTAAAAAAAGTATTAGAAATGCCCTTATCTCTCTATCAAAATAATTAATCCAACTTCATCAAGGAGCGCTAGGGCAATGGCAAGGATCTGAATTAACTTAGGCTTTGTACTCACTGAAACAAAAGTGAAGCAGAGGCCAGCTCCCCTTTGTGCCAGCTGCTCTGTGTCAAGCCGAGGTTTTGCTAGCATCACTGACATGAGGGTTGGCAGAGCAGACTGCTCCTCCGTTGCCTCCTTTGCAGCACTGCCATCTAAACCATAGAGGGGCTGTTCTACTCGTCGCTGGAAAACAGTAAAGAAACACACAAATAACATGAAAAACATAATCTGATACTGCCCAAACATGTAACAGGTTAAAAACAATTATCAAATATAAGATGAATGATTTTTTTAAAAAAGGCCTCTCTAAAAATAATTATGGAGAGCATACCAACATTATCATTGTATTATAACCTATCTAAAAATGTGACTATCTTACTCAAATTCTTTGACACTATATTTTAATGGTTCTATATTTATGAGAGTCTGAATTTACATGTTACTTTGTAGAATTCTACAAATCATCTTTATAATGCCCTCAACCCTACACAGGAAATATTATTTCTATCCTGTAGGTAAATGAAAATTAAGACACTGTCCCGTGACTTTTCTTCTCTTCTCTTTTTTTTTTTTTTTGAGATGGAGTTTCATTCTTGTTGCCCAGGCTGGAGTGCAGTAGCATGGTCTCTGCTCTCACTGCAACCTCTACCTCCTGGGTTCAAGCGATTCTCCTGTCTCAGCCTCCCAAGTAGCTGGGATTATAGGTGTCACCACGTCTGGCTAATTTTTTTTGTATTTTTAGTAGAGACAGGGTTTCACCACGTTGGCCAGGCTGGTCTCAAACTCCTGACCTCAGGTGATCCACCTGACTCAGCCTCCCAAAGTGCTGGGATTACAGCCATGAGCCACTGTCCCTGGCCTGTTCCGTGACTTTATAGGTGAAGCTTATTTCACTCTCAATTCTATTCTCACTATACTATATTTAGATGCAAAAATCTAAAATAAATACAAGCAAAACAAGTTCCACAGTATACTAAAAGGATAATACACCACAATTACACATAATTTACTCCAGAAACCTAAAAATGATTTGACATTAGCAAATCTACTAATGTAATTCATTACATTAACTTTAGGGAGGGATAAATTAAGATTCTTCCTGTTGGATACCAAAAAGGATAAACACACTGTTAGGCAACTCTTAAAAGACTAGAATTGGCTGGGCACGGTGGCTCATGCCTTGTGGCTCATGCCTATAATCCCAGCACTTTGGGAGGCTAAGGCAGGTGGATCACTTGAGGTCAGGAGTTCAAGACCAGCCTGGCCAACATGGTGAAACCCATCTCCACTAAAAATACAAAAATTAGCCAGGCGTGGTGGTGGGCACCTATAATCCAAGATACTCGAGAGGCTAAGGCAGAAGAATCGCTTAAACCCAGGAGGCGGAAGTTGCAGTGAGCCCAGATTGTGCCACTACACTAAGCCTGGGTAACAGAGCATGACTCCATCTCAAAAAGAAAAAAAAAAAAAAAAAAGACTGGAATTATCCACTTTTAATGCAATGAAGAGTATGTTTTTCAAAAATCAACATAAAATATCATAACTAATGGTGCTAACACTGGAGACCTTTTCATTAAAGCTAGAAAACAAGACCAAAGTAACATATTCTCATATTAAACGTTATAAAAGTTTTAGCCAATGTAAAAAAGAAAAAAAATGAGGTAAAAATATTAGAAATCAAAGATTTTTAGTGTCATTTTTGGATGATATAACTATTCACAAAGGAAACCAACCAAATCAATGGAAAAATTACTATAACAATTAAAAGGAGTTCAGTAAGACGGACAAATACAAAATAAATACACTAAAATCGATAGCTTCCCCAACTGATTTTAATCAGAGCATGTAACAGAAGGAAAAGCAGATTCAAAGTAGCAAACAAAAATCTGTAAAATACTTGAAAGCAAACTTAAGAAACATGCAGAACACCTATGAAGACAAACTATACAGCTTCACAGATGAATATTAAAAATGATCTAAATTAAATGGTAATATCATGTTCCTGGGTTCAGATTCTACAAACATCAAATTTCTCTAAAACCCAAGTTTAAGGTTTTAATTTTGTTTTTGGCCTTTTTCTCTTCCAAGGGATAGTCTTATGGTGGTACAGTAGTCATCTAGGTTCTCTCTCATGCTTTCTTGGGCAGTTGTTTTTGTGGGATTTCACAATAAATTCTAAGGTTCACTTAAAAAAATAATCATAATCAGCCACATAATTTTTCAGAAAGAGTGTCAGGGAAACTTGATCAGATATCGAAACATACTACAATGTTACATTAACTAAAACAGTATCATACAGATACAGAAACAGACAGATTGACCAGTGGCACAGAATACAGAATTCAGAAACAGATCTATATAATATGGATATATAATTTGTGATTAATGTGCATTTCATATCAGTGGGAACTTATTAAAAAGATGGTAGGACATTTGCGCAGACATTAGAAAAAAAGGGAAAAATAGATTCCTACCTTTCATAACATATAAAAATTACAAGAAGAAAAAATAAACAAATGCTTTTAGAATTTTCTAGTTGTAAAGGACTTTTTAAACATGACATTAAAAATATAAACCATGGGCAGGGCACAGTGGCTCATGCCTGTAATCCCAGCACTTTGGGAGGCCAAGGTGGGCAAATTACTTGAGGTCAGGAGTTTAAGACTAGCCTGGCCAACATGGCAAAACCCTATCTCTACTAAAAATACAAAAATTAGCTGGGCATGGTGGCATGTGCCTGTAGTCCCAGTTACTCGGGAGGCTGAGGCATGAGAATCACTTGAATCCGGGAGGCAGAGGCTGCAGTGAGCCAAGATCACACCACTGCACTCCAGCCTGGGCAACACAGCAAGACCCTGTCTCAAAAGAAAAAAAAAATACACACATACACACACACACACACACAAACACACACCATACAGGCATACACCATATGGGAACATCTAAGAATAAGAAAAATCCCGTAAATCATAAAGGAAAAACACTGATAAATTTAACTACTTCAATTTTTTTACATCTGAATGGTAAAAGTCAACATAAAAAGAAAAGATTACAAACAAGCAAAAATATTTACAATATAACAAATCAATAATATAATTTATTAAATCTTAACAAATAATGCTTTACCTATCAGTAAAACAAAAACCAAAAACACACAAATATTTCAAAAGAGACGTATGCAAAGGACCTGAACAAGCATTAAAAGAGAAATCCAAAAGGCCATTAAACATATGATGTTTAATATATATAACTAATGAACAAATGCAAGTTAAAACAAGGTATTTTTCTTTATGCAAAGGTTACAATGATAAAATTCAGTATTAGCAGGGTGTGAAAAAATTGGTACTCTCAAACTGCTAATAACCTTCTAACAATTTATGTGATGACATTTTTAAATGATCATATTCTGACTTGGGAATTACAATTACGGGATTTATCTGGGAAAAATTTGTAAGTTAAGAAGTATGTATAAGGACGTTCATTACACTATTTATAGAACACAAATGTTTACAAGATATTGGTTAAATAAAGTAATACAATGGAAATAAGAAAACCTATTATATAAACATACGTGTATATCTCAAAAAGTCCAGAAAAATTTGCCCACCATACTCTCTAATAACAGTTCTTTTGGAGGGAACTTTCTATTTCACCATTTCTGAATTGTTGAACTTTCCTAATCTGCATGAATAAAAGAAATAATTTTCCTTAATCAGGAATAGTTCTTTAACGTTTTCATGTCAAAAAATAAAAGTAAAATGATCCTGACAAAGAAATTTAGTTTTTGAATCTATGAATAGAGTCCTCCTCATGATCAACACTCCTACCCCACCAAATGTAACAGTTTAAACTCAGGCTCTAGAACACCTGTGATATCCATTGATGACAACATTCTCACTGCATGGGAGAATGAGCTGCAACAGTAAAATTAAACCTTCTGCCATATATTCAATAAATACCTGCCAAGGATTGAAAGATTTAAAAACATTTATGTAAATATCCTACGTAGGCTATAGCCTTTCCTGTTTGAACCAACCTCTCCCTGGGGAAAAAAAAAACAAACAAACTATACAGATAGGATAAAATATGGGCGAACAATAACAACAAAAAACATTAAAAGCACTGAAGACTTGATTAAATATTAGGCATCTGCCAGGGCAAAATCTAAGGGAAATTAGGAACATCAGACAGGTAAAAGAAACACCAAAGCCACATATGACCTAAGGGCACCTGCAGATCTTGAATTTCCATTTTCAGGGCAACATCAAGCAGATAGTCACAGACCAACGCCCAGCCCACCCAAGGGAGAGGGTTCAATAGGAAACCCTTCCCACTTCAAGCTGGGCCTCCAAAGAGCTACCTACATTCTCAAGGAAAGGGTAAACCAGAAGAAAAATTACCCCCACCCTCAGATGGCTGCAAGGAAGTTGCCTTGGCAGTGTAAGAGTTGGGGGTTCTCTTGAGAAATGTTGACACAATCCAAATCAATATTTCCCAGTAGCTGAAATAAAGCAAACAAAATAAGCAAACTACACAAAATATAAGCTATAAATGCACTAAAGTGGTATATAAAAGAGGTAAAATCTCTAGGTACTCGGAAGGAGCAAATAAAAATTTTCCCTGTAGTAATACATCTTCATTCATCCTAGATCTTGAAGAAACCCCCAAAAAATTTTTCAAGAACAATGAGGAGTACACAGTTAAAATACAAAGCATAAAAGAAATAAAGCCATGAACAACAACTAAGAAAAACAAGAGACACCAGAAACAGATTCATAAAAGCTTCAGATGCTAGAATTATCAAACAGATTATAAAATAATTGTGTCTACCATATTTTAAAAAATAAAAGATGGCTTGAAAATATCTGCAGAAAATGTAATTCTTTTTCTTCAAAAGGCAGTAACCAATTCAATAGGGCTAACAGCAAATTAGAAACAATAAAACAGGATCTGGGAACTGAAAGGCAAGAAGAAATTACCCATGATGGAGTATATAAAGACAAGAAGAACAAAAATACAAAAAAAGAAGTCAAAAGGCATGGTAATAAAATTATAAAGTATAATGTATGGTTAATTATAATTTCATAAGAGAAGGAAAAGAAGAACAAATCAGAGATAATATTCAAAGAGACAATGGCTAATTATTCAGAACTAATGAAAGACACCAACCCACAAATTCCAGA